GGTCCTACTTGGTTTATGCCACTGAGGGCGGAAGAACCAGGCTCTTTGTTTCCTTGGGGCAGGGTGGGGTGGGGAGGGGAGTTGGGAGGCTTCCCACTTGGAGCCTTCAGCCTTATTGCCCTTCTCTTCTCTTGTGCCCTTGCACACAGCAGCAGGAAATTGGGTTCTGGCACAGATGAGATGAGCCTGGCTCTCTTGGGCTAAAGGGAAACTTCACCAACTCCCCAGTCCTTGGGCAGGGGAGGGGTGTGTGTGATACATAGTATGGGAGCCAGTGCCGGGTCCCCTCAGCAGGAAGGCTCACACACAGACCCTGCTCTGGGAGAGGAGGGATCTGAGCCACAGTTGGGGAGGAGGAGGGGGTTTGTCTGTGATCATTCAGCCCCGAAATGATGCTCATGATGTTGGCTTTCCAGGCCATTAATTCAAGGGCTTCAGGCTTCCCCCTTCCCCCAAGATGCTGCCTGCTCTGGGAGATAAGCCCAGTTCAATTTAACCCTGCCTATTCCCCCAAAGTGGCCTCCACCTCTGTTAGCCAGGCACTTAACCCCCTGGGTACTGAATGCATCAGAGGCTGAGGGATTGAGCTCGTGAGTCAGATGCCCACTGCTGTGATTCCTGGCTACAGGGGACAGATCCAGAAGACCCTGCTTCATGGGGCATGGCAGGAGTCCTAGGAGCCCCTCATCACTCTTTCTCAGCAAACCCAGGTCCCCTAAGATAATGAGACCCTAGGTGGCTCTGGAAGAGGTCATGCTCTCCCAGGTTGGGCAGTGACAGCAACTACCACCTCCCCACATCCTCCCTGTTCCAGTTTCCCAGTCAACACAGAAGTCTGTGGTACCTTTGCATCTTTTGTGGTCTTTTGTGTCCTGCTAGCTGGTGGCTTTGTCTGGTACCTTCTGCCCTATCTCCTTCCTCTCTGCCCTCTTCTTGTTTGTTCCTTTTAATGTCCTCATGTCTCCTTTCTCCTTTGTTCCATCTTCTTCCCCTTCAATGATCACCTAGGGTCATTCTCACTGTTAGCCTCAGTGTGAATGTGTATGTTCTTGTGTCTGTCAGTATATGATTGTCCGTGTTTGTATTTGTTCTTATACTGCCATGTGTCTAAGCCTGTTATCTGGGTGACTGCCCACACGGATGGATCCATGGGTGTCTGTCCTGGCTTCTTTGTGTGGTAGCCAGGATTTGAAAACAAATTTTGCATGTGTCTGTGGCCTGTCTGTCCTTGAACCTGTATGTGTTCAACTGTCAGCCTGTATATGGTTCCTCATTTCCTTGTGTTGTCATTGTGTGGTGTGTGTGTGTGTGTGTGTGTGTGTGTGTGTAAATGCATGTAGATGTATTTCAGTTCAGGAAGCAGGCTGTGCAGATTCCTTTTGGCAGAAGCTGCACTTCTACCAGTGAAGATGGCTTCACCACAGCACAGAACATCCCATTACCAGGTAGGTAAGTCATCATGTTTGTTACCTGAGAGCTAGGTCCCCAGCCCTCTGTTTTCCTAATTCTATTCCAGATTAGTTTAGGAATGAAAAGGTTAAGCACACAGGCAGCAAAGACAAAGAGTGCCACATTTGAACTCATTCAGACTACAGACCCAATCACATCGTTTTTCTCTCACACTCCCCCTCCCCCACACACACATACAATGAGAAATGGCATTTGAGGGTGGTAACAACAGCAGTAGCAAAACATTTGAATAATAAAGTATTCGTATTCGACACATATATGCAGTATCTCATCAGATTCTCCCAGTATATCTATGAAGCTGTTGTTATTCTCACACTTCAGGGATGAGAAAATGAGAAAAAGGTAAGTATGTGGTTACCTAGCCAGTACACTATGAAGCAAGATTTCCCCATCAACCCTGAGCTGCTTGGGAGCTAGAATGACAGCCTTAAGCCTAGGAAGAGGTATTTATAACAAACAGCTGGAAAAAAGGAAGCTAGAGGCCTTCCTTCTCCAGAAATTAACAACTAATCGCAGTAAGGGACTGAGATCTGACTTGAATTTTATTTCTTTGGACAGTGAGAAGGCCAAATATCAAATATCAGGGAGAAAGGCTGGAAAGATGGGGTGATGGGGGGAAAGGCCCATTAGAGGGAGTATTAGAACTCCTGGGTTCTAATCCAGCTTTCACTTGTGTTCTGTGTGACCTTGAGCAGGGCATTTCATTGCAAGAGTGTGCATTTGTTTCTCTATAAAATTGCATGGGAGGCTCTGTTCTGAGTTTAAGCATGAAAGAAAGGATCACTGGCTTGTGTGCCAGTTATTGAGACCCAATTCTCAGATCTCAACAACTGGGGTTGGGGAATATAGAGAGAGTAGCTTTCATGGTTTTGGTAATTCCCACAACAGCCAGTCACATGCATAGTAAACGGTGATGAAAAGATGCACTGAACAAGGGGATAAAGCAAATGACCCCATTTCTCTGTGACAAACTAACATCACAGCCTACCTTAAGCCCTTGATGGGAACAAACATCCTAAAAGAGGAAAGGGAAAGTAAAGCACTTTGGCCTCACTTGTCCAAGAAGACATTGATGGCCATGTCAAGGTCTGAGTATGTAGGTGGTGGAGGAGGCACAGAGATAGTCCAAGCCCTGGTCATATCATAAAGCTAAGTAGTTCCACCAGGAACAGAGGGCCTGGAAGGAACAGGAAGCGGGAGATGGGAGATGGAGAGCAAAGGCATTCCTTTGACTGGGCACTGGGGTCTCTGACAGTTCTCTGGGGTGTGAGGTCCATTCTAGTTCAAGCCTCTTTAGAAGACCAGATCACTATCTAGTAGGAATGACTCCTAGCATGAAGTAAAATGGGTGTCTTTAGGGGAAGGCTCTAGAGAGAGGTATTGTTTAGTTGAGGATTATTGTGTGTTTTTGTTGAGTGGCTGGAGTTGAAAGAGGATTCTTTAGGTTAGGGGAGGGTTTCTGCGTTTGAGAGATGGGAGCTTTGCGGGTCCCATTCCTGGTGGGAATTCAGGAGGGCAGGGGGTGGGGAGGAGCTTTTTTGCCCAATGTAAAGGAGAGCTCTGAAAAGAAGTCTCAGAAGAGCGTGATGTACTTGTGATCTTGATGTACTTGTGATCGAGTGGGGGTGATGGAGGAATCTGTCTTGTCCTAGCAGCTCCAACTGGCTGGTCTAGGCCCTCAGGCCGCCCTACTTGTGCGCTGATGTGAGCTAATCCAGAAATACTGCAGGGAAGGAAGAGGCTGGGGTTCCCTGGGAAAAGGGGGCCTCCAGAGAGGAGACCAACTGAGTGACATCCTTTATCCTTATCTTCACCTTCTCCCTACCTCAAGCACAGCGCTGCTTCCCCCTCTAGGCTGGGGCTGCTAAGTTGAATCCTGTGGTTTATTGCTCACAAGTCCCAGGCAAGTCCGGCTGGGGACCTATGCCGGGACTCACATAGAATGGGGAGACCTGCGTGGAGACAACTACAAAGGGACTCATGGCAGGTGGGGGGGGGGGGGTAAACGCAGGCGTGCGGGACACACACGCGTGCACACACACACACACACACACACACTCCAACACACCAGCTCCGCAGCGTGCAGACTTCAATGGCGCACGAAACCCCTATACACAGTTACCGAATCTCACCCTCGGAGTTCACACAGATCGAGCCCACAGCCGTGTCGGAAGCAGTGTTTGTCTTTGTCTCTGGATCTGCTTCTAATTCGTGGATCACACACACGCGCGCCACACTCCATAGAAAGCCCCAGGCTCAGGGTCGGTCGGGATGGCGGCGGGCTGAGCGCACTGGCAGCTTCCGTGCGCTCCAAACCCTTCTTTCCTCCGCGCGCCAGCCAGCCGCGCACGAGCTGCGTCTCTCCCGACTCTCTGGGCATGGGCATTCACCAACCCGCCACCAGGCTACCGGGAAGCATCCTCAGGGTCCTGCTTCCATCCAGGTCTCCCAAACGGAAAAAAAAAGAAAAAAATCGAAAAGCCAACCTTTGGCTTCCTTTCTCCGAGAATGTGGAGAGTGGTTGGTGGTGAGCGGTGAGCGACCCAGAGAATCGCTTCAATCGCCGCGTCCCAAGATCGTCCAGGTGATTCAGCCCCAGGTGAACATCCATCCCTGAGTGTGATCGATGCTGGCCACTTCTTCCAAGGTGGATTTGTGGCTAGGTTTAAGAACTGGGATGGAGCGCCAGGGAGACAAACCCACGCTTAGACGGCCGCTTCACCAGACGCGCGAGCCACTGTATGTCCTGCTGGCTTTCCTTGCGCCCGGATCCGTCCTTAGCTACAAAACCAGGGGCCCTCACGGCTCCCGGACATTGGAGGCTTGGCCGTGGGCGGGGACCGTGTGAATCAGCCCACCCCCGAACCCCTCCCTCCCTGCGGCGGCGAAGTGGGAAGGGCTAGGATCGCAGTTTAGCACCTCCTCCAGAAATGCAGCACTGGGGGCCCCCCACCCCTCCCGCCCTGCGCCCTCCGGCGTGCGCCCTCCTCCCGCCGCCGCCTTCCCAAGGGCGCCCTTCTCCTCTCGCCCGTCTCCCCCTTCTGAATCCCTTCGTGCCACCTTTCTCGCCCATTCGCCCCTTCCTCACGTCCCCAGGCTCTGAGAGTTTCCCCTTCTCCCCTCTCCCTCCCTCCACCACCGCCTGACTTCGAGGGGCGGGGAGCGCACTGGGCTGCGCGCGGGTGGGGGCGCCGCGCCAGCCCCGCGTAGCGGCTCTGACGCCGCCGCCGCCACCGCCGCCCTCCGCAGCCCAGCCCCGCGCCCCGCGGCAGCTCCGCAGTGCACTAGCCGCCTCCGCCTCCGCCACCACCGCTCGGCCGGTCCCGCTGCTAATCTGCTCGGTCCAACGACAGACATCCGGAAGGGGTCATGAGCCAGGGCGCCCCGGGGCGCCGCAGGGACAGCGAGCGGAGATAGCAGCCTCGCGAACCCCCACCCCGCCACCCCCGGCCGTCTCGCGGTCTTGACGCGCGCCCGCCGCGTCCCCGGTCCCTTCTGTCCTTTCCTCGGGCCCCGTCGCCGCCGCCGCCATGGCCACCTTACTCCGCAGCAAGCTGTCCAATGTGGCCACGTCCGTGTCTAACAAATCCCAGGCCAAGGTGAGCGGCATGTTTGCCAGGATGGGTTTCCAGGCGGCCACGGACGAGGAGGCCGTGGGCTTCGCGCACTGCGACGACCTCGACTTTGAGCACCGACAGGGCCTACAGATGGACATCTTGAAAGCCGAGGGCGAGCCCGGTGGGGACGAGGGGGCCGAACCGCCCGTCGAGGGAGACATCCATTACCAACGCGGCGACGGCGCACCGCTGCCTCCCTCGGGCTCCAAGGACCAGGCCCTGGGGGTTGGAGGCGAGTTTGGGGGCCACGACAAGCCCAAGATCACAGCGTGGGAGGCGGGCTGGAACGTGACCAACGCCATCCAGGTGAGCGCGGGATTCCTAGCTCTGCCTGCCGACACCCCCACACAGGCTCTGCCCCCACACAGATCGCACGGAGATCTGGGCTTCTCCAGTACCTGAGATTGGGTCTCCCCCTTCCCGGACTCCCTCCTAACGATGCGATGCGCGGGGAATCGACGCCCCCACCCCCACACCAGGTGGTGTCTCTCGCCCTGATTTGCACCCTTCTTCCCACTGCCCCAGCGACAGGACAGCGAAGCTGGGGTTGGGTGGGCGACCCACGTCCAGAGACGCAGCAAAAGCGAAGGAAACTGAGAGTAGGGTTAGAGGAGGGGGAGCGAGAACGGAGGAGGGAGAATAAAAATCAGGATTGGCGGGAAGAGTATGGCCTTGGAGTTCGGAATGGATTCACAGCTGCGGTGTTTTTTTTGGGGGGGGGGAGGAGAAGGGCTAGAGGCCCCCGCCTGGGATGCAGGAGAGCCCGCGGAGCTGGGAGCTCCTCCCCCGCCCCCGACACACACGCATAAAGCATGCACACCTACACAGGCAGGTACACCTGCCCCCAGCCTCCTCCGCCACGCACAAACACGCCCAAGACACGCACCTCTCTATAGGTCACAGGATTATTCCTGAATACACCTGCACACAGGCCACCCACCTCCACACACCCCTCCCTCAAGGAAGCGCCCGCGCCTTCACATCGCAAGCACGTACCGTGCACGCGCAGGCCCCCACGCAGGCAGACAGGACACCGTGGGCTCTCCCGGGTGTAACCCCACTGGAGACATGCAGACACGTGCGCACAGGAACACTCATGATCTCCGGGACTCCAGCTATGCATCCGCGCGCACACCAGCCCCTCTGATCCGAAATCCCGGCTGCACCGCAGCAGCGGTCCGCGCCTCCACGTGACCCTGGCGAAGCCCCCCTCCGGAGGCTTAGAACTGCCATTGGTCTAGCCACCTCTTCCCCCTCACTCCCAGCCCCCAGCCCCAGCCCCATCTCCCCACCAGGCGGCGCCGGACTCCCCGCACAGGGCTTTGGAGTCCTCCTAACGACTCCGGGAACCGGCGGGGGACCAGAGGTCTCAGATTCAGGGGTGGAAAAGACCTCAGCTCTGCGCCCCTCTGGATTCTCTGGCTGTGCCCCGCGGGAATTTTGGGAACGCAAGATCGTTGAGGCAAAAAAAAAAAAAAATGTAGTTTTTCCGGGGTTGCACCGATCCACTGACTTGGCGAGTGGGGTGCCTAGGTGATCTAACCCCAAGGCACCTCCTGCTCCTGGACAGGACGAGACAGCCTTGACAGTCTAGGGGCAGGATTGGTGGAGAAGGGAGGGAACCCTCCTCCTTGGTTATTGGCGACGCCTTCTCTCAGGACGTTTTCCAGGCCCATTCTGTAGGCCCAAGAGAGAAGACAGGGCCGTAGACTGGGGGCGCGCAGGCCTCCAGGACTCAAGATTTCGTTAGTTTTCCTCCCTCTCCCCCATCTACATCATAAACCGTCGTTCCCTCAGCCTGGCCAGCCCAACACCATAGCTTCGGGGCCCTAGACCCCACTCTGGGTTGGGTTTCCCCCAGCGATCGTCCTTTCCGTTCTCCACCGCAAGCGCGCCAGTCTCTAAGACTAAGGTTGCTTCCAACCGCACCTTCTTCCTCCCGGAGCCCCAGTACCCCAAAGCCCCTGCCTCCTTGCTTCTTCAAAGTACTGTCACGCACACACACCCAACCCCTACCCCGTCGGCTTCTCCGTAGCTCCCCCCCCTCACCTTCAGCCCCGCTTCCTCTCTGCCTCCTCTCTTTTTCCTCCCACGGCCGCGCTTCCCTCATTAGCGCGCACCCCACTCCACTCACCATAAACGCAGCCGCGCCCACTCCTTCAGTCAGGTTCTTTACGAGAACCCCTTTCTGACCACGCCCCGTCCAGCTCCTGCTGGTTCCAAGGAAACACCCCAAGTATCTTACCCCCTACCTTCAGCCCAGTCCCACCCCCAGTCCCACCTTTCCTTCTTGATTCCATCCTTGAGCACTTTCCTCTCCATGGAGACTCAACATTCAGGTTCCCAGGCATGTCTTCTTTCACCCCCACCTCCACCCCCATTCCAACCAACCCTCCCTCCCTTAACCTCTCCAGCCTGGTGATTCAGGCACAATTTTGACTCTCCTCGGCGCCCCCTAGCGATACCTGTGAGCCACGCCCTCCCTTCCCACCCCGTTCCCCAGGACCCTCCTTCCCCAGCTCCCGTCCCCGCTGAAGCGCCACGGGTCTGGTTGCTTCTCTGCTCCACAGGGCATGTTCGTGCTGGGCCTACCCTACGCCATCCTTCACGGCGGCTACCTGGGGTTGTTCCTCATCATCTTCGCCGCCGTGGTGTGCTGCTACACCGGCAAGATCCTCATCGCGTGCCTGTACGAGGAGAACGAGGACGGCGAGGTGGTGCGCGTGCGGGACTCGTACGTGGCCATCGCCAACGCGTGCTGTGCGCCGCGCTTCCCCACGCTGGGCGGCCGCGTGGTCAACGTGGCGCAGATCATCGAGCTGGTGATGACTTGCATCCTGTACGTGGTGGTGAGCGGCAACCTCATGTACAACAGCTTCCCGGGGTTGCCCGTGTCGCAGAAGTCCTGGTCCATCATCGCCACGGCGGTGCTGCTGCCCTGCGCTTTCCTGAAGAATCTCAAGGCCGTGTCCAAGTTCAGTCTGCTGTGCACCCTGGCTCACTTCGTCATCAACATCCTGGTCATCGCTTACTGCCTATCGAGGGCGCGTGACTGGGCCTGGGAGAAGGTCAAGTTCTACATCGATGTCAAGAAGTTCCCCATCTCCATCGGCATCATCGTGTTCAGCTACACGTCGCAGATCTTCCTGCCTTCCCTGGAGGGGAACATGCAGCAGCCCAGCGAGTTCCACTGCATGATGAACTGGACGCACATCGCCGCCTGCGTGCTCAAGGGTCTCTTCGCGCTCGTCGCCTATCTCACCTGGGCCGACGAGACCAAGGAGGTCATTACGGATAACCTGCCCGGCTCCATCCGCGCCGTGGTCAACATCTTTCTGGTAGCCAAAGCGCTGTTGTCCTACCCGCTGCCCTTCTTCGCAGCCGTCGAGGTGCTGGAGAAGTCGCTCTTCCAGGAAGGCAGCCGCGCCTTCTTCCCGGCCTGCTACGGCGGCGACGGGCGCCTCAAGTCGTGGGGGCTGACGCTGCGCTGCGCCCTGGTGGTCTTCACGCTGCTCATGGCCATCTACGTGCCGCACTTCGCGCTGCTCATGGGGCTCACCGGCAGCCTGACGGGCGCCGGCCTCTGCTTCCTGCTGCCCAGCCTCTTCCACCTGCGTCTGCTCTGGCGCAAGCTGTTGTGGCACCAAGTCTTCTTCGACGTCGCCATCTTCGTCATCGGTGGCATCTGCAGCGTGTCCGGCTTCGTGCATTCCCTCGAGGGCCTGATCGAGGCCTACCGAACCAACGCGGAGGACTAGGGCTTCCGGAGCGAGCCCCGCCTGAGCCCTCCCCCCGCCCGAGCCCCCCCCCGCCTCCAGCCCCCTCCCCCTCCAGGCCCCTCCTCCTCCCCTCCCCTCCCCCTCCAGCCCCGTGCGCCGTGCCGCGCTTGGGAAGCCGAGCTTTAAACACCTGGTTCCTAGTTACTGATTTCTTGGGGGGGGGGGGAATGGGAGGGGTGGGAGGGGAATCCACGACCCATCGCGTCTGCGTTTCTTTCCCACAGCACCCTAAATTGTTTCGCTTTGTTTTTTGAGGGGGGGAGGAGGCGGGGTGCGTTTGTGGGTTGTGTTTTCGGCCCTTCCTCGAGGGGCTCCGATCGCCAAGTGGGGGGGACGGTGGGGGGGACGGGCGGGGAGAAGGGGCGCAGTTCGCAGGCGCGGAAACTTGACCTTGGGAAGTGGGGGGTGGGGACATTCCCATAGCCATCTAGTGCTCGGAATCTACAGCTTCCAGCCATTCCCAGCCAAGAGCGCTTCCCATCCCCGAGACATTTCAACAACCTTGCCGCCGGGAGGGAGAAGGCTGTCGGGGAAATTCCCCTGTCGGGTGGGCGCCTTTCCTTCGGCGCAGCCGGGGAGAGCCGCCGCGCGGGCGGGCGGGCGAGGGGGCCTGGTTTGCCTACCCGGTGTTCAGGAATCCAAACTCATCTTGTGCAATTTATCAGGTTGTGGAACTGTTCTACTGTGCGTGTGGTGTGCTCGTGGTGAATAAGATGAAATGTATATCAGAAAAAAAAATCTATCTCTAGAGTGCGGTGCATAATTATATATCCGCCAAATAAAGAAGAAACAAAGACTCGCGCGGCCTCCTGTCAGTTCTGCCCATTCACACCAGCCGCGTTTGGCTGGCTGGCTGCCTGGGCTGGGGACCCACCAGCGAAGGCTGGGTGAAGCCAGAGCGAGGGGAGAAGCTGCTGGGGTTCAAAGGAGGAGGCTCTAGAGGTGTGTGAGAGGGAGGAGGGGGAGAGGGGAGTGGGGTGAAGGGGATGGGGTTGGAGGAAGGAAAGGGAAGAGGAGTATAAGGTAATAGTTTGTCTTAATTAGCTGAGTGCGGGTGGCTCCTGTCTGTAATCCTAACCACTGAGGTTGCTGAGACCTGAAGATCACAGTTGGAAGCCAATCCAGGCAGAAAAGTCTGAGAGACTCTAATCTCTTAACTGACCAGCAAAAAACTGGAATTAAAGGTTGGCTTAAATGGTAAAGGGCCAGCCTTGAGCCAAATCAGAGGAGGAAGCCCCAGGGTTCAAACCTCACTACTGGCATAAGACAGTAACAACAAAAACAAAACCAGCTGGACAACGTTTGCTCTGAATCTCTTACTTTCCAATCCTTAAAAGAGTGGGATGTGTGTGCATGTGTGAACAAAACCCCTACAAGTTTATTCAACTTTAAAAAAAATAATGCCTTCCTAAGCAGTTCAGAATGGGACAAAATCTCTACAAGTTTATTCAACTTTTAAAAGATAGGACCATCCTAAGTAATCCTGAGTGAAGTGGAACTTGAGATCCTCTTACCTTAGCCTCTTGAGAGTTGGGATTACAGGTGGGTGCCAGGACACCACCATTTTAACAAACATATATTAGGGCTAGAGCTATGTTGGATGTCCTCCTGGAGCTTCTTGTCCAGCAGGTGGGAGCCGGGCAATTAACCAAGACAAGCAGAAATTCACATCTTAAGTGCAGATTGTGAAGAAAACTGTGAAGGAGCAGGTGTGTATCTCCCCTCATATCAAACAGATCTTTCAGGCATCTCTCATCCAGGATCACCCTCCTTAAGTCCAAGTGGAGGCCCCATTTATAGATCAATAGCCATTTGAGTTCTCGTTTTCCTGGAACTTGTGCAGTCTGTCCAAGAATGCATTTGTCTGGATTACCCAAAAGAGCCAGTGGAACCAAATTCCAGGGACAAAACATGCACTGCCTTCACGAGTTCCCCTCTTGGGATCATTGGGAAGGTTCCTGGTGAACTTTCAATATGGGAGCTGGGAGTGCAAGACTAAGCTGCACAGAGCCCTTCCTCCCTCGCTGTGAGAGAAGCTACCACCGAGGCACAGGTCTCTTAGAGTGATTTAAGAAAGAAGTCAGTGAGTACTAAAGTAAGATGGTCACATCTCCTGGCAAGGAGGGAGGGGGGACAGAAGGAAAGAGGGAGAGAAAGAGGGAGGAAAAATGAGAATATATGAGTGTGAGGTGGGGAGTCTGTGGGGTGTGTGTGGGTGTGTGTGTGTGTGCGCGCGCGCATGCATGCGTGCAGAATATCCATGTGGGCATGCTCTGTGATTCACTTGAGACGGAGGTGATCTTGCGTCATTCTGGTTCTGGGAGTAGAAGGGGAAGGGGAACTCCTCCCCCTAATGTCCAATTGCCTCAGCATCTCTGATTCCTTAAACAGGACACTTGGGATCCCACATTGCTGAATTCCTCTTTGTTACGCTAATTCTGTGTTAAGGTTTTAGGACAGTCTAAAGAGTTCTCAGTTTCCTATCCCCCATGACTACTGGTATCTTCCAGACCTGGAGGGAGATGGTACTGGCTGCTCATGCCTGTGCCTCATTCATCTGCATCTCAGTGCCTCTATGGACCCTGGGTATGCTCTGAGTTGAAGGCTCATTCTATACCCTGAAGAAAAAGCCAAGACTTCTACAGGAGAAGGGATGTGGGAACACCACACTGTATCAGCTGCCATGTCTCAGCATGCCTGGATCTGCTCCTCTGGGTCTTAGCTCCCATCTTGGTGTCTTCCAGGAGTCTAGATCCTTAAAGGACAAATCCTGGTATTTGTAGGTCCCAAAGAACCAGTCCCCTAGACACCCCAAAGGGAATTCTGCAGCCTAGTCAATAGGACTCTAATCTTCAATTGGCATTCAGGATTCTGTGAGACATGGGGAGCTGGAGTAGATGGGATCTGGCATCCCTTTGTCACCCCCAAAATGCATGAGCAGAAGATGCAAGGAAGAAGTCCTGACTTAACCTAGCCATAGTAGGATCATCATGAGAATCTGAGTCCCAGGAAGTAACCAAGTCTGGCAATTGCAGGGTGGAATTGAGGAGGCAGGAGGACTCTGCCTTAGCTCCTGGTGTCCTCATCAGTTCTTAGGGCTTATCCTGGCTTCACTTGCTATGGACCTATGAGGCCATCCCTACCTAACATAGAGATGTGCTGAAGTACTGACCCTAGGGTCAGAGACCTTAGAGTCTCCTCTAGCCTATAACCACCAAGACTTGTCCTGTCACAGGAACCCAGAAGCCTCAGCTACATAGTCACAAGATGGCCCTATCTCATCAGCCTCCCACCCTCCAGCCATGACAGCATAAGCTGCTGGTCCTCCAAGGTTCTCTACCTTTACATTGGGTAGTGTCTTTCCAGGACACCCCAGAGTCCTAACTGCTTCTTGTCTCCCTAAATTCCCCCCTCCCAGCTTATGCATCATTATTTATTGGTTATTTTCAGTGCTCTATTTCATAGCATTTCAAAAGTGAATCTTTGCTTTTTGTTTCCCCAAGCCCACAAGGATGCTCTGTTATGGAGCATGTTTTCTTGTATGTTATGTCCTATCTTAGGATGGAAGGATTCCTACACAGTGGCATGAAGGGAAGGAGAGAAGGAGGGAGGGAGCCAATCTGGTCCATAGGGACCATTGAGAACTTGAAGAGGATTCAGGCCTTGCCCTTGGGGGTAAGGTGACTTCAGAGATCTAGAGAGAGGCTTTGATCAAGGAGGGAGCCACCCTCAGGTAGTCTCAGTCCTCTCTGTGAATGGGAACATGAGTGGCTTAGATCTTCCCGCTTGGAATATCTAGATGCCCAAGGCTGTCTTGGGCATCTTTCCCACTGCTCTTTTTCTTTCTCGCTTTCCAATATTACACAACCATTCTAACATACAGGAGGAAAAAAAAAAGGCGAGAGTCTATGCTGAACACATGTATTCTACCACCTAAACAGTTCTGATGGCGCCTTGACTCTGAAGAGGGTGCTATGAAGAGGGCGAGTCCAAGAACACAGAATGAAAGATAAGTGGAAGAGACACTGAAGCAGAAACAAAGGTAAGGGATGCAGGGAGCGAGGCTGCTTCTGATGGGGCTTCTCCAGTCTACATTGCCACACTAGGCTCCATCTGACACATTTGAATGAAGTCGTTCATGTGGGAATCAATACCAGGAAGCCCCAGTAACACAGAGGAGAGGCAAATGAAGGAGAAGGAAGAAAAGCAATTCAAGGAATTTTATGGACAGACATCTTTGCTTTAATCTATTTGAAGCCACCCTTCAGGAAACTTCAGAGTGATCCCATTTGGAAGACCAGGGTACCTAGGCCTTTTGTCTTCCAAATTCTATCAGTTGTGGGTAGAGGGCTGTTTATGGACTTGTTAACTACCCAGCACTTCCAGCCTCTGCGCCCCTTGGAATGTTGACAGAAGCCAGTGTGGGGAGCTGTGGGCAGAGCTCCATTGGCATCTGCTATAGAGACTTTGGGACAAGTCTTGGAGATCTAAATGATGTTATGTGGTCCATGCTTTAAGCTCAAAGGGGTCCTGATATTCATTGAGAGTCAAGGGGACCTTTAACAAAAGTGTTGATCTCCCAGATCAGATAAATTGAATGGTGATGATGGGGAGATATGAAAGGGAAGTTTCTTGGGCCTTTGTGAAGCCCCCCAAGGTACTGCTCATCTTCCAGATTCTATGACTTGTTTCCTTCTTTGGGGGTTTATCAGGTGCCTATGTGACTTATTATCCCCCATAATCAAGATGTTTATTCTTAATAAGGCACCTTGGAAGAGATGAAGGTTTGACCCTCAGACATCAGTCAGAACCATGCTTCAGATAATGCTAAGACCTGCTGGAACTTTTCAGGGTGGCCCAAAACAATTTTCCCCCCACATATAAAGATGATTGAAATATTTGTGTTCTTATTCCTCTGTGAGAAAGGATAGTTCCCAAGAAAAGTAATACTTGTGTATCTGAACATCACATGGGCTTAG